CTCCCCACACCCAGTGTCTTATCAGATTGACATTTCCAGAGCCCTTTGGGAATACCAAAACACTTGTAAGACAGAGGTGAGTAAGGAAATGTCCTACAGTCCAAAATGCTTCCAAGGCTCAGTTTCCTGCTGGAATATACAGATGTATGTCATCTACTTCTCACTGTAATTATGATCACAAGCTTGGAAAGAAACACTTGGAAAAAAGAAAGAGACAGGGAAATAGATTGTGTTGCTGGGAACACGGGCAAAACGACAATATCTTTAGTACATACAACTTATTTGTCCTTCCAGAATAAAAATTTTAACTATGAAGCACAAACAGCAGTCAGTTCCATCAAAAACCTGACTTTCTTAGAGAGCGAAGAACTTTCTCCCAAGCCAAATACCATGTGCTGTATATGCATAAAGACAGCTTCTGCTACAGTATATGCCTACAGATTTCACAGTTGCATATGACCGCCAAAATCTCAACTTCTAGCAGCAAAAAACGTATGTCACCATTATTTAGCCAAGCATCTGAAGACTGAAATACATCCTAGCTGCTCATTTTGCTGGAAAACAGTGCTTTGCTTCATATACCTAACCTACTTTGTAATCAACTGATTTTATTATAACTGTTAGAAATACCCAAATGTATTTGGGAAACTTTAAAAAATAAAGAAAACCCAAAGCCACACACCTTCCCTTTTCCTTCTTTAAAATGTTAAGCTTCCACTCTTGCACAACAATGCCCACCAGAAGACTGAAAAATCATAAGGCTTCAAACTGCAACAAATCTGTATTTTGATAGAGGAATGGAAGGAAAGAAGGTGAGGAGAAGGGGAAATAAAATTTTCTGGGTCATTCTAACATTTAGATCTAATCTGTTTAATCAAGAATAGTAACTTAAATAGTAAGGAAGTGACTGGAAACTTTCTATTTATGTTACAAGCAATTTAAGAGATCTCTTTCAAGAGAAGAGCTTGGTTAGGGTATGAACTGCAGACTACAAGCACAAGCTTGAAATTCACCATCCAGCCTGAAAGGCTGTATGCAAGAAGGCACCAAAGTAAGCTCTGGTTTACATCACACAGCAGGGCAGTAACTGACCATGAGTCACTGATGCACTTCATCTGGCTTTTAAGGCCATCAGTACCAGATAAAGATGTTTTAGGACACATTTTACAAAGCACTTTGCAGTATAACTTTGCCTGGCAGTTCAAATCTGCACAGAATTTTCTAGACAAAATGTATTCATGGCAAAGCTTCCAAGATGAAATATGTTCTGTCCTGCAGCTGGCAAGATATTAGTGCAGCTCTCTACTGTAATGACTGGGCTAACTGAACAGGAGTCTTCCCGTGGGCTAAGCCAAAAAGGGATGAGACAGGATGAATGATTTCTGCTACCACAGCCTGGGCTGCAAGTAGTACCCAGCCCTCATAATACCCTAGGCAGCACCACATAAAACCATGTGTATGCCAAACAGAGGTGAAAAAATAAAAACCCCTGGAAAACGTGATTTTGAAATATCAACTCATGATTGAAGTTATTTTTCCTTCTTCACTAAAGCTTGAGATTTAAGTCTTCTCTATATCAGAGTAAAGAATTAATACCTGTGACGTTCATGAAATGAAACTCCGAAAAAAATCAAAGGTTGTCATAAAAAGCAAGAGAGGGCAGGCTTATTGTGAAGTTAATGAAGTACTTAAAGACCTTAAGCAGTGGCAAAGTCCTGATTTAAAGTGGGACATGGTTAAGGGTTTGCAAATTGAGAACTCTGGAAGAACCTGTCATCCTCTCCTAAGGTGCAATACAGCTTCGACAGGCACATCATTTTACTGAATACAGTTATTGAATGAGAAATACTAACCTCAGAGATCTCAAAGGATTTGAGAGAGAAAAAAATCTACGACCTGAAACAAACACAGTATTGAAATGCTCTACAAAAGCCCAAGAACTGTGAACTTGATTTATAAATGAAAAGAAAAATACAATTAGGGCAAACTTCCAACTGACAGCTAAGTTATAACAAAAATGGTGTTTAACATGCAGTATCACCCACCCAAAATGTTAGTTAGTAGCAGTATCACCTTTCCTTTGGAGATGGCCCAGGTTGATACAAATAAAAACAGAAAATTGGGAAATGATGAGGGAAATAAAAGTTCTCAATAAAAAAAAAAAAATAAGTGTGAAATAGTCATTCCATATGCACTGATACAAAACATCTGAAAAAACCTGAATGGAGGTAGGATTCCTCTTTTAACAAACAAGAAACTTGAAAATTATCTTTGCCCAAATTTAGTTAAGAAGAACGGGCAGAGAAAAGCACAGCATTGAAGGCAAAAAACAAAACACAGCAAACTGTGGCCCACTGGACAGCCTGATCTTCTGTTGCCTTTTCCTTGCCCTGCCTCTCCCTCTCCTTTCTGACTGCCTCCTTCAACATTTCCAAACTGAGGAGGAGTATTTGTTCCCCATCCTCCACCTCTACTGAACCTGCTCTAGTCCAACACATGGGCAAGAATTTCCTCTTGCTTTGGTTCTCAAATTTCACTGTCACATCCAGCCTCTCCCCCCAGTGCTTTTCACCCGAGGACTACAGTCTGCATGACTGCATTTGATAATACAGACTCTGCTGCTTAAATACCGTACATTTGCAGACAGTTAAAGCATGTTTTATAAAGGTACCATAAAGGGGCTCAGCACCACACACTTCCTGGGCGTGCAAGCCTGCAGCAGCTGGAAAGGGACCCTGTCCAACACAGGACTGTTTCCCTCTCCTCACTAGGATGAAAAGGAGCACACAGAGACAAGGCCTTTATGCTGGAGCCCTTCCCAAGCCACAGCTTCAGAGCAATGATCTGTCTGACATGTTGCAACTCAGGAAGCATGTACAGGAAAAGGAGGAGGGGAGCAGCAGGCAGGGATTCCCCTCCAAATTTCCAGTGCTGTGCAAGAGGGACAAACAGATGTATCCAGCCAGAGAGAAATAGCTGTGCACAGCCCCTCAGCTGATCCTACTGAACTGAGCAGTGGCATATGTTGGGAGGGAGACGATAACAAGAAGCGATGCTCACAATCCTGCAAGAGAGATCTAAAGCTTCCCTCAGCCCCCAGCCCAGGGAGTTTGAAGGCATTCAGAAACAGTACAAAAACTCAGCTGGAGCTATGAATCCTTATAGAATCCTTCCTCCACACATGCAGCTCAGCCAAGCCTCCCACATCTCAGTGTGCCCCAAAATTTTGTGTTTCAAAGGAATTTTAGAGCCTTTGCTTGTTTGGGAGAAAACACGTTCAGAAGCCACAAGGCAGCTCCTGCAGGTTCCTCTCAGCATGCCACAGCATCAGTGGTAAAGGCAATGCCTGCCTGCAACAGGCAGCTGCATTCTTTAGTCTGGCACCAAGCAGGAAAGCTATCATCCATTTCTAAGTTAGATTCAGGGAACCAGCTGGGGACCAACGATTGCCATTTCTGAAGTACACGAAGAGGAGTGTAACCAGCTTTTCCATAGTAACGAAGATTAGCAGCCTTGAGTCTGACACTCCTGCTGCATTAAAAGATAGGAGACAAAGAGAGAGACAGGTAATTACATAGAAGGAGCCCTGGGGAAATTGCAAACTCCTTGAGAACCCTTTAGCTGGTCCGTATGTTTCTCCTTGTCTCTGCTTCAGCTGAAGGTCCCCAAGAAACACTTGCCCATTAGATCATTAGCTTTATTGCAGAAAGTAGCCAGACAGCTGGTAGTGGCTGTTCAATAAAGACTTAGCTTGCCTCTACAGCAGCAAGAATGAGATGGAGAATAAGAAAAAGAACATCCCAAGGCACATTACCTGTCTGGAGCTTATCCTTGATACGTTAGTGTACTTAGTCAGCGTGAGGGTCTGACAAATGAACTCTGACAAATCTTGCTGGGGCAATTTAAGACACTATTGCATCACACTGTCTTTCAAAACCCTTCACAAATGTTAACACCATCAAGCAATCCAGTAGGAAAACTTCTATCATGCACTGGCCTCTCCAATTCACAGCCTAGCAAGTTAGCATAAATCCCTTCTCAGTGCTGGATTAAGTTGAGATGTCAATTCTAACCAGAGTGGCTGAGGTCTAGACAGAAGATATTTCCTCCACTACAAAGAGCATTAACATCTATCACAAAGATGGAAGAGGAAATGACATCTCAAAGCACTACAGCTCCTAAGCATATACAAATCTTTAATATTAAAATACATATGCAATTTGTCGAGCAACAAACTTGAGTCTACTCCTGCAGCTCACAATGCTCTATGAATCAGCACTAATTTTTTGGACTTGATATATCCCCAACACAAACTGAATGCCTTGCAGTGAAAAGATGGACATGGATTTTCCGATCACCACATAACTACAAAATTCAATTCCTCTCACACAACACATTTTGCACTTCTGTCCAAAACTGAAAGAAGTCCAGATAGTGAAAGACTTGCCATGTTTTTCACCATTCAGAACTAGAGTTGGGCTTCCAGATAGTTCCTGTCTTATCTGTCAGGGCTACAACCAGCCACAAAACCATGACAGACACCAGAGAAGACATCAAGTTTAAAAAACTAACCAGAACAACAACTAAACCAATCCGTATTTGTCCAATCAGAAGTACATTTGTGATAATAACAAAAGAAGCTTTGAGATTCTTCAACTTGCCTTCTCCAGACCTAACTCTGTCTTTCCATCCAAGCTGATATTCAGGCAAAGGTTTAGTTAATCAGTCTGCAATACAACAGTTTTACTTTTTTTCCTCTACAAGTATTTAAAATATATCTCATCTTCTAGATTTTCTCAAGGGACAGTATCCTACACTTAGTAGTAGAGCAAGAAGTGCACAAAGCTCCTGTTTGCATTCCAGCGCTAGAAGGGCAACCCACATGAACCAGAAGTTTGGCTAAACTCCATGAAGACAAACTTCTTCTGCCATCACCTGTCCTTCCAGAAGGAGCAGAGCAGGCAAGACACCTTGAAAAGCAGATAACAATTACCCCTTACCTTTCTGAAGAGGCCACCGCCAATTAGCACATTCCTGGAGCTTCTGAATCAGGCAAGAAGAAAGGAGGGGAGGGTGGGGAAAAAAAAAGGGGGAGGAGAGAGCTGTTTTCTTCCTCAGCACAACAGTATTTCCTGAGGGGAGAAGAAAAAATGTAGAAAAAAGGAAATAAGCATTAGCTTCCATGATTTTCAAAGAGGCTACTGATTACAGCTCTTGCTTGACAGAGCTACTGTGCCACTACTTCTGCACTTCCAAAATACCAGTTTAGGGTGTCCTGTATTTTCTCCATTGTCACCTTACCAAAACAGGGACTATGAATGTCAACCACTACTAAGAAAAGCAAAGCGATTCCTGTCAGAATGGGAAAAAGCCCCATACTAGAATGGGTTAAAGTCCAATTCAAAAACATTCTGGAGGACTTATTCTATTAAGTAAACAAGCTTCAGCCAAGCTCACACCCACTTCTGTAAAAATTCAAATGAGCCACATTTACTATCAAAATAGTTGGCAAAAGGCAAATTCCAACATGCATACTGAACATACAGGTATATACCAACATTCAAGTGCTTATGTACTCTGCTCTGAGAGGATCATACCTACAATTATGAGGTATTTGCAATTAATCATAAGTTCTGTTTCTTTTTAAGACAACTTCTCTTTCTCAAGACAATCTATTCCAACTATATAAAATCTTTCAATAGCAGCAAGAGTAAGCATTTGTGTTTGGTTTTTCTAAAACAGAATGAAGGGAAAAGGATCTAAAAACCCTTTTGACTAAAGGTACCACTTTGAAATTGAGCTTCACTCCCATAAAACCACAGTTCCTCACCTCAGACCATCTCCCTCTCTCTGCCCTACTCCTAACATGACTTTAAAGAAGCTTAGAGATGCAGAGATTTAATGGGCCCCTCCCTACCTCCAGTACCTGCCTCTGATGAAAGGCAGGAAAATCAAGTGGAAAATTATTTTAAAGCATGAATGCAAGACATTAACATCTTTGAGGAAATGGCAATCAAGGTTTTCCACAGGGAATGAGCAAAGGGAAACACATCCAGTCTGTTCTCCATCACACTTTGTTGGCTTATATTACTACAGAAAAACTCTACCCTTTTCTCTCTTATGGAAAATCTGAACAAGTTCTCAAAATAAGGAAAAAAGTCTATGCTACCTTACATTACCACACACATTTCTGCCACCCCTCAAAAAAACAATTACATACAGATCCTAGTCTCATGGAAAATATTTGAATTAAGGAGCCCCAACAGATAGGATACAACATAAAAGGCAGCACTTCTATCACAGCATCTCCCTCAAAGCCACCACGTCTGTCCAATTCTAAATGGCCACAGTTCCTGCATTTCTCTAGGGGACAAAAGCTCTCTTTTTCTCTCCTCCTGTCAGCAAGACTTAAAGCTGCAAGAGTAATTCTGTCCAGATTCCCCTCTAGATAGGCAATGATTTAAAGAATTCATGAAGTGGCAGTGTAAATAAACAATGAAAAACTAAATAAAGATCACAGAAGACAACACACAGAAAATGTGCACTAAAGAGAGAAAGAACAAGCTCAGTGATTCAAAACCTCTTCTGCCTTGTTATGGGCACCCATAAATAGGCGCAGCAATAATTTGACAATGTGAAAGAATGGATCCTGACACAAAAATGTAGCTACTCAAAAACCTGCCTCCTCAACCCTCTGCCTAAAGGCAAACCTTCCCACAGTGTTTAATTTCACTTTCTCAATGTCTTACCCCTCATCAGTTGCATTTCTGCTTTCTGTCAGCTTTCACCAACTTGTACTAATTGATGCAAAGCAACTTAAGCCGAAACCTGGAGAGCTCAAATCAGGGTTTTTTGGGGGGTTTTTAGTTTGGTTTTTTTTTTTTAAAAAAAAAAAGGAAACAGTGCTACAGCCCTAACTGTGGGGATGGGAGAAGAAATGACCCTTAGTGAATTGCTCCTGACACGTGTACATCCCGAGGCTATGTGCAAATCAATACTTACTGAGCAGCTCAGCACAGATCAGGTTACAAAATGCAAGAAAAAAAAGAAATTGTATCACCCCCTCAAACATACATTATTTTTGTATCCCTATATCAAATGAATAATTTGCTTTTCTTTTTCATTATCAAATCAAAAGAATGCTTTTGACAGTATTTTTCTCCCTGCTAAGAACCCTACCCCCCACCCCCCCAGATTTCCAGTAAAGTCTGTTAAGAATTCAAGTACTGATTTTATTTTAAGCACTTAAAAATTTTGCACTTGCATTCTATTACCAGTAAGAGGAATAATTTAGAGTAGACATAGAAGATTTGAAGAAAGCATATTTTCAAATTGAACATAAAATCAAGAGGTGGCAAAAAGGAAGTCTTAGTGCAAAAAACCAAAGTTTTTAAACAACATTCTCAGGCAGACAGAAATCTGTCTCAAGTACCATTTAAAGACATAGGTTTGACTTGCTCCAAAGAAAGTGAGATTGGTCTGTTCTCAAATCGTCAGGCAAGAAAAAATGTAAAGTGAAATAACGCATTAGCTGAAAGTCAAATCCTAAGTGGAGAAACCTCACAAAATGATTTACAAAACCAAGAGACTTGACTAAATTTCTGGCAGGGCCAGAGATAATTCGTATGAAAAAAATGTCAAAATGTTTTGGCTATACAGCCACTGCAGGAAGGAAACAAACAGAAAACTGGGAAACACTGTATCAAAACCCAACAAATCGCTGACATCAACATTAGATAAATGACTAGGCATATGTTGAGTCAAACACCCTCAAGATGGTGTGTGAGTCAACTCCTGCAATGAATTTAGCAGAGCTGCTTTCCTACATCAAGCTTAATAAAAATAATCCTCAATGATTCCAGCTAGGTCTGGGTTCTCATTATATCTCACACGATGTGTGCCCATTCTGGACAGTACCTGAGCTGGAGCAGGGATACAAGAAGGCAGTTTTGACTAATCTTTTCTAAATTATGATACCAGATTTCTTCTTAGTGCTGCACAACAAAGGTGGTGTTTTTTCCAGGCATTACCCAAATGCAGCCCACTTCCTATGGAAAATGCATAAATCCTGTAGGACATTTGCAGGTTCTAGGTCTTTAGTGATCCGGACAATTTATACATTCAGAAAATAAAATTTTGGCAAAGTAATGCCCCTCACTTCCAATCTGCACAAGATGACTGGTGAAGAGCTTGTTGACCTTATCCTGTCTGACCCCTACAAGGAGCCCCCATCAGCTCTTCGAGCAATTCCTGCTCCCAGGGTACACAACCAACCTGGATAGTTTTCTGGTTTATTGCATTTTCTAGCTCCATGATGGCTACTAATTGCATTACACTCAGGAATTAGATCAGAGAACTGCTGTATGCAACAGAACCCTCCAACACCTCTTCAAATTTACAGAGAAAATCAAGTATTCTCAAGGTTCTCCAATCTACATTTAACAGCTACTCTTCTTCAGGTGAATTTTAAGTACACTCAGAGCGTACTAATATCGGTCAAGTTTGTATCACAGCAAAAAGTTCTTTTCTTTCTTTTTCTGTTGATTTTTAACCTTTTGCTCTAGGAGAGGTAATAAAACAACTATTTCCTTAACACCTATCGAGGGAAGTAGCAGTCTCCATTTCTTAGTGAAAAAAACAAACATGCAAGCTCAGAAAAAAGAAGATTAAAATACCTACTCTAAAATAGCATGATGAAACTGAACAAAACCTCTCAGCCTTGGGTTATGAAGTCAGGAACCTCTCCTGCTTCTGAATCAGATTCTTTCTCCACGCTATTTTCTACTATCTACAGCTGGCACTGAATCAGATTAAATAGAACTCACATGTTTCATTTCATGAAAAGACAATATAATGTTTACCTACAGCAACAAGAGAACAAGCTGGAAATTAGCAAGTTCTCATTTATTTTAGTATGAATTAAAAGCATATCCCTATTATTCATGCATATGTGTGTGTGCATATGTCACACACATACACCAGGGTAAGCCTTCCACCACAAACACCTGTACTGGATACATTTGTGAAAAAAAGAAGCTTCTTCAAACATAAATACTATTTTCCCAGAACTGTATCTGCACAAAGACAGGAAGCTCTACTCAAAGCTCTTCTCAATCTATTATCATTGCATCTATTACAAAAAGCCAAGAAAAAGTAACCAAAACATTGTTGCAGAAGCACAGACAAAGCATAAAAGCATGGTAAGAGACAATGAAAACACAGGTCTCCTAAATAAATTGTCCTTTCATTTGCCTTAGTGAGCTCATGGGATCCACCATCAACAGATGTCTAAGTAAAAGATTAGACTTTACTTACATGAATTATATTTCTTAAACAAGCAGTGTAATTTTTATTAATTTGAACAAACTCTAATTCAAATGCCTAACTTCATTTCTATATCTTTGAATAGAGGTGTTCACACAATGGTTCCCTATGGCTTTAATGTTACAGCTATCTGTATTTTCCCACCTGCTTTCCTTGGATCCTGAAAAGCTCTTCCCAAAATGACATTTGTCCATGCAAAAAATCTGTGCTTTCTGAAGCACTATTCACATGGATGCATTTAGGTAACATGCCTATTAAAGCATACCAACCTCTGTACGACATTTACCTTCCAGTCTAACTGCAATGACCCCACCAAGATGGAAAAAAAATATTTTATTTTCTCTTAATCACCTGAAAAGGTACCTACCAAGCACAAGTAGGATTTATACCTCACATTTTGTATGCAAAGTCTCGAGGACCAAACTCAGTGCACTGAAGCATAATGAGAGATACTAGTCACTTGAAAAATTTAGTCTCTTCCAAAGAAACAGTGTGGGAATAATTTTGCCAAGCATTTATTTCTCCCTTTTAAGCTAGATCTAGAAGGAAGCAATATCTTTGTCTAAAAGCCTTGTCCCTCAACCTTCCCCTGGGTGACAGAATGCTGACAAACCAGCTAAAATAACTGGTGGAGTGGGGCCCAGGAGCCAGGACATAAGGGACAGCAGAGACAGGTGCTTGGGCACATCTGGAAAGCAGCGTCCTGCTGGGGTGGCAATCACTGCTGCTCCCTGCTGCCAGGTGGTAACCTGTGTGCTGCTGTCAGTGGGCTAGTGCTGACCTAGCAACAGCCCCAAGGACAAGGGGG